GGTTTCGTCTCTCTCTCTCTCTCTCTCTCTATTTTCTTCTGCTTTTATGTTCTCTATCCTATTGTCATTTAAGTTTTCCTTGTGAAATTTTTAGATCGAATCGATCAGTCTGCCCTTCGAAACTTTCCTCCCTATGGAAATTTAATCTTATTTCGATAATCTCTGGTATTATAAACTTTATTAAAAATATTTCGTTTCCCTCTCCTTGCCTTGGAGGAAGAAAGCGAATAATTCTCGAGTAAAAAAAGAAAGGAACACTGGATTGCTTGAACATTAAAACTTTATTTTTTTTTCGAATAAACGCACTCGCTTACACGTCCTCGCCATCGCGTTATTCTCACTTCTTCCCATCTCACCATAGATTTTTACATAACATAGATGCGCGCGTTTAAATATAAAAAGGTTAAGTTATAAAGAAAAGAAACGCCATGATGCTTAAAATTAGCAACCAATTTACAACAAAAAACATAAATTAAATTAACTTATATATGTAGACAGTTTTTAGCATCATAACACTTATACATTTTTTATGAATAAATATTATTAAACAAACTTTTTTAAATTAACTTAATAATATAATAATGGAATTATGTGCATAATTTTTTTGATTTATAATATAATACAAGTGATTATGATACAATAGCTTATCTTTTTATATTAAATAATAACAATATTGTTACTTATTACAATTAATTATGATGCAAATAACATTATCTATAACAGCTTAAACAACATATCTATTTTTATAAACTAATTTTAGTTTGTTGGAAATATCGCTACACACAATTGTTTAAGAACTGAAATAATGAAAAAAATACGTGTTCCTAAAATTTTTTGAAACATTATTCATTGAATTTAAGATAGTCACGTATACATATGCATAACGTCATATGCATAACGAGTACGATAACGATACTTAAAACCTCGTGGAATAATTCGCGCGATGAGAGAAGAGAGAATTAAACGATCGTGCACGCAGACGCAGCAATTTCCAAAGCAAATATTACGTAAATCGCGGCGACAGGCGTGGCGACAGGATTGATCG